TTTTTTTTTTTTTTTTTCCTTTTTTTTCAGAGGAAGCTATCATTCCACATCTGGTCAAACAGCTCCTACTATGCCTCAGGAGAGTATGTGGATATATATATTTTTTTCTAGCAAGATCAGGGCATTTAGATTTTGCGGTCTGGAGAAAAGTTCTTTTCTGTCTGAATGCCAGATGCAGTTTTTCCTGTGTTTGCCCTTTGCCAGGTTTAAGATGATGTTTGTTCTGAGTCATCGGCTCACACTAGTTAATGAAAATCATGGGCGTTTACTTTCTTTATAGAAAGCTGTGCATATGTCTGAAAAAAGCCATAGAGAAGCCTTTTCTTTTGTTCAGATGCAGATTTCGGGTAACCTGAGACTGTTCCGAGGACACAGCTCCCTGCAGGTTCTGGAGGATGAGGGCGCTGCAGGGTGGTGGCAGCTGGTGGCCCTGCCCGGAGTGCTTGGTTCCCTCCTGGTGCTCCACTCAGGGGGCTGTGGCTTTGCGCCGTGGCAGGAGGATCAGCGTTTCTCCCCTTGGCAACTGTGAGGCTGGACACAGAGATTCAGATACTGCTTTTGTAGACGCAGCTGGGCATATCGGGTGGTGTTTTCTCTCCCATTTCAGGGGGGAAGTGAAGCTCCCGTGGCCTTCTCTGGGGGCCTTTGCCTTTGTTCACTGGTGATACAGAGGTTGGCATCGGAGACCTCTTGGCATGAAACCATGTGGGACACACACTGGGCTCTGGCCCTGGCCACAGAAGGACACCACAAGCCAAGCGTCGGCAGCCTGTGAAGTAACCATGAAGTAAACCCTTTCAGTGGCTGTATTTTTCTGACATGGGTTTAACCTCAAAAGGGAAAGCTTTGGTGGCGGGTTCCAGCCTCCTCATCCTGGTGAGTGTGCTGAAGAGGGGGAAGCATTGGAGGGGACAGATGGCACCTGTCAGAGCCGAAAGCTGTCGTCAGATGGGGAGGAAGTCCTAACAATGGCTGCGTGCTTTCCACTGAGTGGCTGTGCTGTGGCCTCTCTGGGTGGCACGTTGACGCCAGCTCACCCCTGGGTACCATTTTGCCATGGCATCTCTGTGCAGAAGCATGGCCTTGAAGACTGTGGTGCCGGGAAGCAGAGTCTCTGTTCCTCATCCCCAGAGACCCATGGGAAAAATTCCTCTTCCTCATGGCAAGAGGGACTCTTCTCCTTCAGGGAGGCTCAGAGATGTCTGCTTCCCAACTGCAGATGACGTGGAGCTGATGGCCAGAGAGCCGAGCTCTAGTCCGGCCACACCAGACCACAGAGCTTTGGAGGCTTGACTGCCACTTCCTTCTAAAAATGGTGGAAGCAAGGATTGACGTGAGGTTCGCCACTCTGATTTTCATTTTACAGTTGAAGAAACTAAGGCTAGAGTACAGAAACACAGAGGACCCAAAGCTACAGCCTTGATGGGCAGAGGGGCCGGGGGCCCCAGGGCGTTTTAGAGTCAGTGCTGCCCTCCCCGGCAGCTCCAAGGCCACCAGGCCTCTTCCAGAACGGCACGAGTGTGGCGTGGCACTATGCAGGGTTCCGATGACACCAGCGTTTCCAGAGGGCGAGGCTCCTGTGGGCATTGGCATGGCTTTTCCCATTCCATCAGCACAAACTTCCATGGCCTCTGCAGGATGGGTGACGCTTTGCCACGGATGCTTTTTTACAGGAGAGGGAAGGAAGCTCAGAGGAGACGGACACCCGCCCCAGGTCCCTGGGGGTGACGTGATGCTGTGAGACCCGAGCCAAGCGTTTTTGGTTCTTACTTCTGTGCTTTTCCATGGCACAAAATGTTTTGCCTCCTGAACACCAATGTGCTGGGTGATGGTGGATTCAGAGGCAGGGCAGGTCTTTCCAGAAGCCTCCGTGGGCGTGAGGCTGAGGGGTGGACACTGTCCTTCTAGGCGGGCCAGGAGCATAAGGGCCAGCGAAAAACGAGGCAGAAAGGATGTCCAGGACACGGAGACGGTGGCTGCTGGAAGCCCAGAGCAGGGTGTCCTGTCCCTCCCTGCTCAGGTCTGTGTCCTAGGCCCTGGGCCGAGCCTGCAGTGTGGAGGAGCTGGCACCGTGTGTAGGGCTGAGAGGAGGCACCCTGCCCTGGGTCACCTTTCCAGCTGCACTGCAAGTGCCCTCACCCCAGCCTCCAGTGCAGGCCCAGCACCAGGTTTCAGGGACCTGCAGCGCTGGATGGACAGGCAGGCAGGCAGGCAGGCAGGCAGGGGCTGTGCAGACAGGCAAACTGCAGAGAAGAGCGTGTCCACGTCCCATGCAGCCGTTCCCTGTCACGTGTGTTTCTCCTTTGTCTTCAGAGTCCTTGCCTCCCCTGCTTGCTTTTGGGTGTGTAGATGTTGCGTGATTCCCCTCCTGTGCTCCTGCTGCCCCCCTTCCAGTCCTCAAATAAAAGAGCCCGGTCAACCACGAGAGCACCCATGTCTCCAGAGTCAGGGAGCTGGGAGCAGTCCCGTTCTGGAGGGGCACCCCAGGTCTGGAGCTGGGTTGTTCTTTGCCTTGGTGCTTGTTTCATAGCTGGGGGGGGGGTCTCCCTTACTCTCCTGGGGTGTCTGCACAGGGAGGGAGAGGGAAGAGGGGGAGAGACATGAAGAGGGAGGGAGAGAGGGAGGTGCAGACAGATGCAGGGTGAAGCATGTTGATGGGCCGAGCAGAGACCCCCGTTCAGCTTAGGGCATGAGTGCTGTGGTGTTTCTGAGCCGCAGGGCAGGGGGTTCTCGGTTCCACTTCTGCTGGTTCCTGGCACTGCTCAGCCTGAGACTTCCACCCAGCTGCTTCTGTCTCTGTTGGGAGCTGACTTCAAGGGCCTTTTGTCGTGGAATCCCTGCATTTTAAATCCCTCTATTTTAAAACCATTGCCTGCCTCTGGCCTTGTAATTCCTTTCTCTGTGGCTGGTGCCTCACAGCCACTGTCCTGCAATAAGAAAGCATCCCAAATCCCGGAGGAATACATTCAAACTCAAAAGCTCTTTCTCAGAAACGAGAGAGAAGCTTCTGGCTTATTCTTCCACTCCATACGCAAATGGCATAGGACTGCCCCCGTCTTCGGGGAGGGACACCCTGGGGGCCCTGAGACCAGGCTGCCTGCCCCTCTGTGTGCAGCTCCCGCAGAGAGGCCTCTGGAAGCCAGGCATTGCCAGCCCCAGCTCAGGGGGTTGGAGGGAGAAGTTTGAAGACTTTACCACGTAGCCCTGGGAGGGTTCTCTGTCCATCAGGAGCAACGTTGGGAGCCCACACAGCTGGCTCAGCCTTTAGTTCCTGCCTGTGCTTGTTTTCATTTTCCTTTCACTCCACAGACACGTAAATACCACACACGCACACACGCACACGCGCGCGCGCACGCACACACACACACACACACACCCCTACTGCTTTTCCTATATGGACCAGAATGGGGTACCCACAGGTGCACAGCGCTGAGTGAAAGGAGCTGCACCCTGGAGCCTGCAGGACTTTATGACATTGTCATGTGTGCACTGGAGCATGACCCTTGGGCAGCCATGTGGGTGGAGTGCTGTGCAGAGCATCGACTTATCTTTGGCCAGGTTTTTAAAGGTACATACAAAGACCTGTCTTGGATGGCACAGTGGAGAATGGAGGGCTGCTTTTCTCTGCTAAATAATTTTTTAGAAGAGGCATCAAGCATTCTGCTGAGTTTCTTGCTATGATCTGGATACTGAAGCCCGGGACGCTTATCCTCTCCTCTCTGCTTGGCAACATGGGGGTTTCTGGCGGAGGCTCCACCTCTCCGTGGCCAGGGTCCACTGAGGACAACGTGCCTCTGGTGGAGCAGGGAACAGGGCGGGGGGCAAGCTGTGGCCTGCCAGCACGTCACACACCGGGTGCTGTGGCATCCTCAGCTCAGCCCTCCCACGTCAGATATTCCTCCACGTAGAGTTAAAATCCTCCTCACCAGCACTGCTCTCCAGGGCGGGGTCCGCATGGTCGGCACCGCCCAGGCTGTGAAGCCCAGGTGGCCACAGCCCGGTGCGTCCCAGGGAAGAGACCTCCCAGAAGGATAGCGGAGCCTCAGAAGCTACCTGGGGGCAGTGGGGGTGTTTTCATCACCAAGAGAGCTCTTGAAAATCAAGTGCAGCTTCTCAACGAGGACACAATCCAAGCTAAACACAGACTCTCGGGACGGGCGTGCAAACCACTGAGGCTCCGCAGGGTGCCTGGCTGCCTCCTCCCCTGTGGCTTGAGGAAGAAATCCTTTCCCCCGGCCGCAGCTGCTGGTCACTCCATGTCCCACGACCACCCTGCGGCTCTCACCTGGTCCTTGTCTGGCCCCGGCTCCCCCAGGACGCTTCTGCCCCCAAGCCCTGGTTCCTCTGCTGCACGTTCAGCCACCACCCTGGACTGGCCATCCTGGGGCCAGCAGGCACATCCTTAATAACTTGTAAACCCACTCCTGGCCCGTAGCGGAGCAGCCCTGGACGCCCAGCCATTAGCTGATGTCTGACATGCGGCCACACATGGTGAACGCTTCCCTTTCAGAGGCTCCAAGTTTTGGCGTCCACAGGCGTCCTGTCCTCCCACCCCCGTGCTCCTGTGCTCCTTGCTGAGTGTAAATGCTCCCATCTTGCACGCCTCTGGAGAGGGCGACCCCCGCTCTCCCTCACACTTGGTGCTCCATCAAGCACAGCTGTGAATTGCTCGTGCTACTTAAGTACTTAAGCACGTGTTTGCAATCTGTTGCATAGTCCCAGGCTTTAAAAGCCAGGTGCCAAGGTGCAGATGGTGGTGGCTTGGACCTGGAAGGGGGCCTGGTGGCCGCGGGTTTGTGGTGGCCGCTCCTAGTGTGCTCACGGTGACTTCGGTGCCAGCCCTGGGCCTGCCCCTTCCCCTCCTGCCTTCCTCGTGATTGCTCCTGGCACCATTGTGTTTTCAGAAGCCATGTCAGCTGCATCAGGAGATGAGGACAGGCCACAGCGATAGCCCACTTCCTATGCAGAGCCCAGCTGCACTGAGGTGAGGACAGAGCCCAGAGGGGCCGGACGTCCCATGGGCACCCATCGTTTAGAGCTTAATTCAACCCGTGTTTAGCAAGTGCTAAATGTCTGCTAGGCACTAGGTTTCAAAGCAAACTCAGGCATGGGTATGCGAGTGGCCCAGGTTCAGGCCAGCCCTCAGATACCAGAGCCATCCCAGGCCCTCCATGCCCTTCAGGCCTGGGCACAGTGAGGCAGACCCTGTCACCAAGGCTTGCCCACCGTCCTGAGCTGATAGCCACGCCCTTTGCTCCCCTCCAAGGCTTCAAAGGCTTGCCCTCCATGCCCTTCTTGGGCATTTGTCTCTTCCTGCATCTGGTTCCCCCCGGGGGAGGTCTGCCTCCCTGCTTCGACAGCCTCACAGATGCCCCAGAGACTGGGGTGGACCCCTGGCAGTGCCACTGCCTGCCCTGCGGGATAGTGGCTGAGAGCCCAGGAAAGGGCAGGTCATCCCTGGCCCCGATGGATGGGGACCCGCCGGCGTCTTACCTTGTACATGTTGCACAGCCCAGGCTGGCTGCGGGCATGAGAGGGCAGAGGGCTCCGGCCCGGCTTTAGCCAGGGTACCTGCCGGGGGACACAGAGTGGGCTGTGTGAGTCTGGGTGGGCGCCGCTGGCAGTGCCCCAAAGTCCTCCAGCAAATCTCCTCTAGAGCTGGCTTGGCACGAACCCAGATGGAGGAGGAGTGAGCAGGAGATGGAGGATGGGGGGTGATGGTGAGCAAAGAGGGTGTGTGCAGAGATGGATGATGGACAGACCACCGAGAGGAGATGGCAGGCAGCGCCCCAAAGGACTCAGGTAACCAAGAGCAAAAGGAAAGTTTTAGGGAAGAATTCTCCTCCAAAGTCTATTCTGAGGACCTGTAGCAAACGATGGGACCAAACATGGCCACAGGCACCAGATGTGTCAGATTTCCACAATCAAGTGCAGAAGGCATTTCCCAGTCTAAAGCAAAGAGCACTAAAAGGGTTTTTTTGATGTCTAGCATGGAATGGATACATTTTGCATTCAGCTTTACTTGCACAGTTGTGTTTTTTTCTTTTATAGCAAGTGCGATCGCTTCTGCATTGCATTCCCCCATGGGGGAGGTAGCTGGCTGGGTAGACATGAGGTGTCCCATTGATAGTTTTCAGGAAATGCAACCTGTAACCCCAGCTGCCTGCCACTCCCAGAGCCAGAAAGAGGGAGGAAAAATGCAGGTGGAAACCATTCCTGCTCTGCAAAGGTTCAGTGAACCGAGGACGGGCTGTTTCAGATTTTCTGCAGAGCATAAGGAAGTAATTTTAGGAGCAGCAGTGTTCAAAGTCACTTTAGCCAATTACTTAGAGCTGGTTTTCCTGCTGACATTCTTCCTTGCTACTGAAGGTTAGGAATTTAACATAAGTAGGAAGTTAATCTTCCTCAGCAGGAGCAGGAGCTGCGCACTCACCTGAGCTCTGTTATAAATCTTCCTAAATACCATTTGCTCCTAACTTACTGTATTCTTTGTCAGTTACATGAGAGTATCTGCTGCATCCATGAACTCTGAGGGCTGCAGTTTAAAGACTATGATTATACAACCAAGGTAAATGCTCTGCAAGAAGTGTCTATTTCTTGACTATCATCTACAGCAAAATGAAGACAAAAAGGAAAAGAGGAGAGAGACTCATAGTGGTCAGGAGATGAAATCAGGATAACAGGTATCAGGAGATGTACTGCCTGCAGATGAAATGGATTCTTTTAAACAAGTTAGCAGCTGAGTATGCGTAAGAATCGAGCAGTTCCACATGGAAGAATGTGAGCACATTCTAGGAGTATTGTGGAAAGTGAACATTCTGGGGTTTTCAGAGGCAAATCTGTGGTGTGTGCTTAGCTCTATGTCTCCTAACGGATTCTGCATGAGAGAGGCTATTTCTACATTGGCAGGAATTTCTGGTGACTTTAATTCATGATATTAAAGAGTAAGTCAATTGAGTATTCACTTCAGAGGGTGTCTCCATGGACGAGACTGTGGGAGCTGCTGTCCCCCTAAGCAGTGGCTGTCCCCCTAAACAATGGCTGTTCCCCTAAACAGTGGCCCCCATCAACGGGTGTCCATGAGCAAGTGCACATTATGCACACAACACAGCCAACAAACAGAACTTTCCATTTATTTTCCCTCATCTCCTACAATGGCTCTTCTCAAGAAGAGGATCACCACTGTGAGACATGGTCTTATGGCTCTGGTGGGCTGGCGTGAAGCCCCTCTGCTGACTCCCCATCTACCCATGGGGATGGCAGGTGGCTGGGGTAGATATAAGGCATCCCATTGATGGTCTTCAGGAAATGGAACCGGTAACCCCAGCTCTTGCCACTCCCAGAACCAGGGAGAGGGAGGACAAATGCAAAGGCCGGAGAAACCGAAAGGCAAGAATCGTCTTGAGAAATTGTGTGTGCTGAGCCTCCTTTTATGTCTCCCTCAAAAGAGTTCAGTTTTCTTTAGCTGTTTTTCCTTTTTTACTCTGTTTTTTTAAGAAGTAGGATGATTTCAGAGCATTAAGAATATGCTGATAGACATAAAGGAAAAAATTTTTACAAAAACATATTGAATTGGGGTTTGATAGGAAATGTCCATGGTTCTTAAATTTGAATCAATATCTAAGCGATTTCCCCAGGTGTGCTATTGCATGTTTATTTCCTAAGGATGGTCTGTTCCCTCAGAGGTCAAGCCAAGCTCCTAATCCGCCGATCAGAATTGCCTGTTATCAAATGGCCAGTCTTTTTATCAAAGGAAAATCGATGATGAGAGAAATGAATGCTTTAAAATGAAAATGAGTTTGAAGGGAGGAGTTAAAACAAGGGTCTGATGGGACATGAACGGCAGGGCCACCTCCAAGCCACTCACTCATCTTCACTCTCATTTCTAATTTCTCAAGGACCCCGAGTTTCACCTTAATCTCATACACTCATTATCACCCTTCAGAAAGCCAGCGTCTTCTTTATTTCAGTGTCACGAGGGTCCCGTGACTCCCCTTGTTCCCCTTTGTGTGTGAGCTCTGCGGGCACTGGCCCCCATGTGCGCGTTCATTTGAGGGGTGCTGGTGGGTGGGCTGAGTTGGGGACAGCACCGGCCAGCGGGGTCTGCTCAGTGTCCACCTGCCCTAACATTCGCAGATGATGCTTTGAGAGAAACATGAAAAACTAGAGGCAGAATCAGAATAGTCATAATAGAAAGACCAGAACACCGGACTGTCGGTGGAGAGAAGAGAGTAAGATGTCTTTGTGTCATAAAGGCAGAGGAGCAAGCAACTGTGACCTTCCTGCACAGAAGCACAGGAGCTTGGGTGCTCAGACTTACCTGCCAGCTGTGTCACCAGGCCACAGAAATGCCGGCCACACAGCACACTCACGTATACAGGGCAACCAAAAACGACAACTTAAGAAAGTTCACATGCAATTAGTATACTGTCCATGGTCTGTTAAACTGTTTAATGAATGCATGAAATGGCAGAAAAATATATAAAGCAAAAAGCTCAGAATTAAATCGTGATACAACCACCACAGGCAATCACCATCAAATCCATGACCATGATTTACAAACGTATCGCTTATACAGAGGAAGTTGCAAAATCAATGCCAGTACAGACACGTCCAGGCTAATTAGCTGTCGCCTGTTCACACAACAGCAACATCTGCAGACCATAGAAGGACACGGAGCAGCTGGCGACCAAGCCAGGGAAGCCTCCAATCAATAACTGATCAGGGCCAGGGGACTTCGAGAGGAGTTCCTCTAGGAAATCTCATTAGGTGTTTGAGTGCAGAAACAAGTGTACCCTCCATATTTGGATTTTCTTTAGAAGAATCTCTGGCCAAATCTCTCATCTGATGGAGGCGCTGGGTGGCCGGGTCAGTGACCACTCAGGCTCGTGATGAAAGACATGGAATTTGGTTCTGGGTGTACCCTGCACTCGGGGGAGAGGATAGCCCTGTGCGTGGCTGGCCCTCCGTGTGGCTACTGTATCCTTCATGTGTCTCCAAATGCTACACCCCCCGTGGGATTACAGAACACAGTTACAGAATTAGGATCTCATGTTAACAATGAGGAATTAGGTTACTGTAGAACTAAAATATGCTTAATGAAATTAAAATGCAATGGAAAATAAATCGGGCAACAGAACATTGTGATTAATTTACAGCACTGAAGATCCCCCACGGCACTGAATGACAGAGTTCTTCCCCCAAACAGTCAGAGGCATAGAAGTCCTACTGAATGCTGAATTACAGAATACTGAGAACAGGTTATAAATGGAGGTCTTAATGTCAAACAGAAAAATAGACAAAATTATCAGTAAGAAGTTAGCTTTTAAAAAAACTCCCTAAAAGTATATGGCATAGAGAAGCAGGGGCCAGGGTGTCCTGGCTGCATTCTGTTTTGGGAACTGTCCGCATGGTACATCCTGTCCTGCTTAGGTGTTCTGTAAAAGCTTCCTCTCTATAAAAAGGAAGGAGTGGTGTCCAAAGCTAACGCCCCCAGGCTCTGCCTTGTGCCATTCAAGTGGCCTCAGCTATCAGCAATGGCAGAAGACTGATGCTGGGGAGGTCACTTGGAGAGGACGCCGCTGGGCTAAGCACATGCCAGTCTTAGCCCTAAGTGCCCATCCATTCCTCACGCGACCCTGACATTCCGGGGAACTGGGAAACCTGTTCCTTAAAGGCAACAAAAGTCCTTTGCTCTCACAACAAAGGAGCATGTTCTCTGTGAATGCACTTTTCATTTATGGCTCTCAAAAGAATATGCCTCCTCAAGGAATTTTTAATGTACTTTTCTTGAATGTCAGCTCCCAGCGACACAAGCGTGGGTGTTGTTAGGGCATTCCCGGGGCCGGGGGCGGCCCCTCCATGTGGTACCAGTGGCCATGTGCCCTCAGGGGAGGGAGGGAGAGCTCAGGAGGGTAGGAAGGGACAAATAGCCCCTTTTATAGGGTCATGGCAGGGGGGCTCCATTCAGAGTCTGGTAGGAAT